TGTTACAGAGCAATTTATCAGCCGAAGTCTACAAGAATTTTGTGATGAATGACTTAGAAGACTTGAGTTGCCTTCGGATGCGTACTCTTGAAAAACATTGAAGCCCATAAACCGATGATTGCAAAATATTACAATTAAAAGGTCATGAATGAGTAATTCTCTGAGAGAGATTTGGTCTGGAGAGTAAAATTACCGATCGGGTCAAAGGACAGCAAATTCGGCAAAGTGGTCACCTAATTGGGAAGGACCTTATCAGATTGAGCATTGTGTGCCGGGTAATACTTATATTTTGGAAATACTGAAAGGACAAGAAGGATTCAGCAGAGCAATCAAATAGGAAATATTTAAAGGAATATTACCCTAACATTTGGATTAATACTTGACAACCAATTTGCTCGGTTGTCAGCTCTAATAGCCGATACCAGAAGGGTATCACTTCTAGTGCGAAGATAAACCCAGAGGGGTAAAAGCCGGTACAATGTGTATCGCCCACAGAAACAAAGCAAACACGGACAAAGTGATGCATATAGTATGAAGTACAAAACAAAAGGGAAAATCACTCAAGACGGAGAAATTGTTTGCTAATATCACCTATTACAAACTACGGGCCGAAAAACACTTTGGCTATTATATCATCGGCCTGGGAGATAAAGGCTACAGAGTTAGCAGCACTGAAGAAGTCCTCAATCAGGCGTTCATAATCCCCAGGGTGCACCGAGGCTGGGAAGCCGTGGGGAAGGAACCAAAGCTTGTGGCCAGAATGGACTTGCACAGAAGCCAACGCCATGGCGGCACCATGGCGAACGCCATGCAAAGCGACCTCCCTAACATGGTTTGGGATGTCATGTAGGCGAACCACCGGGGCGGCGCCTCTGGCGTTGACGAATCCCGCCGTGTGCTCCGCAGCCAATTGGAGGCTCTCCAGTTGGGCAGACAAGTCTAAAAAGATTCAAAGGGGAGATGATCAGAGTCTTGAAGATGAAATTGAAAGGAAGCAAAGGTTATGACAGATATCTCACCCGTAATTCTGGCCTCGGCCTTGGCCAACCTATCCTCCACTGAACCGACCTCAGGAGGCAATCGACATTGAACCATGGCCAGAGCCGATTCTACGAGGGAGAGACATTCAGCGAGACTCTGGCCATGCCGATCAATGGAGGCAAGTAGATCGTCGTTGTCAATCTGCCTCCTCTGATAACAAGGGAGCTGGCGACGAGCTATTAACGAAGAGGACCCTAAAGGCCGAACGGAGTCGGTCCTATCCCCTGAGGTAGTGGGGGCACCATGAGTTGCACCCTCCTGACGATGAAGGCGCTGATGCAATGATACAGGTCCGTTGAGGGCCTCCTTAGGAAACTTCTTGTTGTTCTCCATGATCTCAAACCTACGGAGAAGCAGGAACTATACTAAGGACACGAAAGGTTTGAGGTGAAGCGAGTTGTTTTTCGATCCCCAGTCGTGGCCTGAATATATAGCCCTAGAAGGCAAAGAGATAGATTGTGCCAGCGGTGTGAAATTGAAATCAGATACGGAAAAGGATCGACGCTCCGAGAATTTAGGGAACAGATAACGAAGAGATAACAGATTCGGACTTATTGCTCTCCAATCAGTCCACCAAGGTTTCTTTGGATTGAAGGAAGTTTGAATCCCCACAGGGCCGAAAGTCATCATAAACCAAGTCACATTGGCCCATTAATAAAATTGCGATAGAGAAGGGAAAAAGCCTCCTGTCTAACAGATGCCCAGCTGATTTCTCGAAGCCGCTGGAAAGAAGCTTGTGGCTTTCCCGATGGACATTCAATTGAGCAAACAAGAGGAAGGTGTCCACGCATTTTAGCCCTTACAAACACTAGAACATCTCTACGAGCATGGAGAGAAGACCCAGGCAATATCACAAGGATTCTTCTAACCGCAGTAGCTGATTCTCTTACTCGGAAAGGTGCTAAGATGGGAGACACAATCACCCTATGCACAAGAATTCTTCTAATCACTCAAGATCTTCATAGCAAAAGGATAGACCATGGAGGGTCCAGCGGGGTCGGGAGCACTCGAGGAGGCAGATAGAAGAGAAACATGGCTAAATTGTTGAGTTGCTCTCGCCAGGGTCGAATAGACATTTTATAGCTGGCCTGGAAGGATGAATCCAAGTGCCCGTGAAGCAATGATGCTCTCGTAAAAGTTTTGAAGCATGGGCTCATGAGCTAACATAGGCGACAACAAACGGTAGACCCCAGATCAAGATTCTCTACCCGTGACTGTAGACCTATCGGGGATACAGATGCGATAATTTTGGGATAAAATTACTTTTATCCCAAAATTGGGGGGCATGTGTTTACACCAAAATTTAGAAGAAGAGTCGCAAGGGACTCAAAAGCTCCCAAGATCATGTCAGCAGGGAATCAATTGCGTGCAGATCGGAATCAGTTGATTCGAATGCAGCACTGGAATCGCTTTCTTCAGGCAGCGCCAGTAGATAACGACAAAGGCTAAGATCAGCGCCGGGACAAGACATGATGGACTCTACAAAAGGGGAAAGATTAGAGTCCAAGTTATCTTAAATTAGGAATGTTTTCTCTTAGGGCCAAAGATTGTGATAAGTCATGCTTAGATAGGAGTCATACGTAGGTCTAGGGTATAAATATCAAACCCCGACTATTGTAAAAAAGACACAATCAATCAAATACTAGTTATTTACTTTTTTTCGGCTTCGGCCACCCCTTAGGAGTAGGAGTAGAGTAGATCTCGACGAGTTCTTCAGCAAGTATGGCTGCATCGATCCGGTTGACCTCCACTGCTTGTCTGTAAGTACCGTCATGGCTTATACCTCTGTTCGTACGGCTGCATCGATCCGGTCGACCTCCACTACGACTCTAGTATGAGTTAGTTATCGACTCTTGTCTAGTTCAAGTACGGCTGCATCGATCCTGTCGACCTCCGCTGCTCGAACTAGATTAAGGTCAAGTTATCGGCTCTATCTAAGAGTGGTGTTTCTTCGGATAGATTCAATAAGTTACCGATATTGCTTATTGCTTTCAATATTTAATTACAGCAATATCACTTTGTCCGATTGGGATTGATCTAGATCGGCCTTATATCCTTTTTAACTCATCGTTTGTTAATCTAAAACTGATCTAATCTGTACTTTAAACGATGAGTTATGTTTTATCAGCTGTTTTACATCAATCTTGATCGTGCATAGCGTGCGGTTAAGGCGTGTTTGATCTTGAGTAGATCTATTGGCTAACGAAAACAGTTCCATGGCCCGTTATCACGGCCTGTGTGATTCTGCCTCACACCCCACTGTTAGCACCGTGGAGTGGGGATCATTATTTGGTAGATCTGTTCCTAAGAGGATATGACCTTAACTGTGCGCTATGCCTGAATCAGCTGTTTTAGCCAATATCGAGCGCTTTCACGAACAGTTCGCATCACGAGATCGTTGAAGTAGCGATAGGTTGAAAGATGTGTTAGCCCCCATAATCTTATTATTGTATTACGGCATATATGATTCTGTCTCATGCCCCACTGATATTAGTAATAAGTTAGGGTCGTCGAGTCTATTGTTGTTTCTACGGCCTGCATGATTCTGTCTCATGCTCCACTGGTCATAGCGATAGATGAGATCTAATATGTTTATTAGATTTATTTTTATTAAAAGGTTGAATGATGATGAAATGTTTCTTTTATAAAAGAGTTCGGTTACTTGTAGTCATTTGCTTAGCATGAGCTAATTGTTCTTGATATCTTATTGCTATTGACCAATATTTATTTAAAAAATGATATTCATCATGAATGATAACCGATTCTTCTTACACAACCTCATGAGCTTTAACCGATTTATTCTTATGAATATGCTGGAATCGGCTATTTAGTCGATCTCCTTTCATATCTGCTCTCAGAGCCGCACATTCGGGACTGTCTGGCAACACCGGCATGTTCCGCCCTTAATTACTGATAAACTTTCTCTCCTTGTTAATTGTAGAGTCAAATTGACTGGCACGTCTCGAGAGGAGTTCGCAGGATCGACCACCCCTGCACTGAAACTAGGCGGATCTCCAGCTCCATCGAGCGGACTCTTTCGGCTTGCTCGTGTGTCCTCGGCACGGGACGAAATTCCGTGTCGACAAGAACGAGTGCAAAACAATCAGCCGCACCATTAAGTAAAAACCAATAAATGAGGATTATACACTTCCTAATATTCCTATTCCTATGACTTTCAACATCTATCTTCTATATGGAAACATTTATCTTCTACACTTCCCTGTAATTTTTAATCCTCTATTTTACAATTGCATTCCTATGAAATTTCTATATTTTTTCTATCACTGTGCTTTTGCAATCTGGTGTTCCAAAGGGGCCTAAATCTCACCACTGCCGCTTGACTCTTCTGATAACCTTTGCGTTATCCACTATGAAGCTTCTCCACCAAGAAGGGATCTCCTCATCTGTCACACACAGAGTCACCGCCGCTCCACATCAAGATTGGAGGGTTGACATAGCTGGAAGGTCACCAAGACATTAATAGCTCTGGCTCACGAAGATTGAAGATTACAAGGCCATGCAAGCCAAATCGCTCAAACTCTGACCTGGAAGTAAAATATGAACTGAAACTCGAATCATACGAAGAGAAACTAGCAAAACTCTGCAAAAAAGAACAAAATAAAAGGCAGCTGGGTTTCAATCATACAATGCTCGATCTGAATAACATTCAACGAGCAACCAAATATTTAGGCTGCTTCACCAAAATCAGACTTCTTGGGTTATAGCCTTTCTAGGAGACGAATTTCAAGATATGACATGACATTCTTTAAAGATAGAAAGAGCTTGGTGAATATGAATGAATGTGCATCTATTAGATATTTAAACAGATGAAACCATAGAAAACATGCATTCCAAATTATTTCAGATCCCTGTCAAGTTACAGAGGAATGTGCTAGGCAAAAATTGCAGGTTTACATATAGTCAATTGACTAGCAACGTGAAATCCAAGCAGCAGCAAGTTACACAACTTGGCGCAGCTCTCCAGTGATGAGTGCAAACTTACGATGCTGTGACAGAATGGATGCCACCATCGTGTCTTTCACTTTCAGGTTGGTCAGATTGTCGAGGAAAGACAAGTTCTCCTTGGCTCCACTAAGGACAGCTTGAAAGATTTGCAGTGGGTCACCATGGCTGACAATAAGAATTGTAGAGCTGCAAGGAATAAAACACAAGAGTCAGCTAGAGCAAGACAGATCCAAGCATGACTTAACAAGTCAGTGTGAACTATGTGACCAGTGGGTAGCTTTTGCTATAGTAAAATCTATGAATCTTCTAAATGAACAGACATTGTCAGAATGTTGACACTCCAGAATCCTGGTAGATTGGTAGCTAGACAAGGAAACTCTACAAACTTACTTGTTATTGATCCATCGCTTTTATATATATATACTTAGCATACACAAGCTACATGATAATATGAATGTCACTACTAAACAGTCAATTTTGAATATTAGCAATTTAGCATTATGCTAGTTTGTGAATTATCTCCCTCACAAACCATATGCTCTGTAGTTATTCATCTTCATATACCATATTGACTCATGTTGGAGAGCTGTTAGTGTTATGAGAAACAATTGGTACCTATCTTTTTTCCTACTTCCACAGAGTTATTAATCATCTGAAATGAGTTAAAATAAAACATTTGTGTGTCCATTCAGACCTTATGCATAATTGTATTGACTAACATAATAAATATTTTAAGGTCAGAAATCTGTTTAACTAGTAATTTAAGGTCATCAAATAAGGTTCCTATAATAATCAAAGTAACCCTAAGGAATCTCATATGCAGCAGATAGCTTACTCAACTATAATTTAATCACTAGATATAACCAATCCCAGTCAATTTGTGATGGCATTCTGATTCAAAGTCACATTTATTTTTGGCCATGAACACAAGTGAACTGGGTTTATTATTATTACTAGCAGGATACCTGTCATGGTCGGCAAGACATATTCCAGAAGAAGGCAGAATAATAAGGATATAGGTTAAGTAATTAGAAGAGGGGCAGTAGGCCCAGCTGTTATATTTTAATCCAAATAGATAGCAAGGCTCTTGGGCCAGGCCCATTAGCAATTGTAACCCCCCTTATATATATGAGGGAGACCGTTAATGACAAACTAAGGAAGTTTAGGGTTAATCCCTTATCCTTCTCCCTCTCCCCCTCCTATCTTCACCCTGCGCCGCCTCTCTTCTCCTCTCTGCCGCCGCCCCCTCCCTCTTCTTCTCTGCCTGCCGTGCCCCTCGTCTGCCACCATCAGCCAGGCCAGCGGCTGCCTCAACCAGGCCGCTGCCCTCCTCCAGCCATGCCACCGCTGCCGCAGAGGGCTGCCTCGCCACTCAGCACGCCGCCCCCGCCACCAACCAACAGATCGGCCTCCAGATCGATCTCGGTTGCCGCAGGTGCTAACTGACGTGTTACAACTGGTATCCGGAGCCACGCTGCGATCACCCCCATGGAGGACACCCGTGTCGTGGAGGACATCCGCGTCATGACTGTGCGTTGGAGGAAGATGTTCGAAAAAAAATTCGTTAACCAGGAGGAAGGACAGAAAATACATACCGCCCTCAAAACGGGCCCTACTACCAACTCCTCCCCCAGAGCAGATGGTGACCCCCACCACAGAATCGATCAACCTGGTACAGACAGATACTCAGAAGTCACATCACCAACCAAATCCCAACAAGGACCCTCAGCAAAACCCAGTACAGATAGATACTCAGGAGCTGCCTCATCAACCACAACTCAACAAAGATCCTCAGAAAAGCGACCAACAACAACCGAAGCGATCGTCAAACTCCCACAAATTGTCGTTTCCTGAATACAACAGCAACGACGAACCCTCTCAATGGCTGTACAAATGCAACAATTTTTTTGTTGCCCAGAACACTAAAGAGGACGAACAGATGCAGTTAGCTGCATTCCATCTAAATGGCAATGCTCTCACATGGTTCATTAGATGGGAACAGGAAGTAGGCCACCCAACCTGACCTCAATTTTCTCAAGCAGTCAACAGGCGCTTTGGGCCACTGATGGATCACAACCACCTCGGCGACCTGACCTGCACCTACCAGACGGGAGAATTGGATGATTAACGAATCAATTTCTCTTAACACTGACCAAGGTAACAGGATTATCAACAGCTCAACAAGTGATGTTATACACTGCTGGTTTAGCATCTACACTCGAAATAGATATCCAACTCCAGAAACCTCCTGATTTAGAAATAGCAACAACAGTAGCTCATAGCTTCTTCTCGGAAATTGTGAGATTACATGGATTACCACAATCTATTGTTAGTGACAGAGATGTGATATTTACGAGTAGATTTTGGAAGGAACTATTCCGATTATCAGCTGTGAAGCTTCAAATGACATCAGCCTATCATCCACAGACAGATGGACGATCGGAAATAGTGAACAAAATTATCACTATGTACCTACGATGTTTAACAGGCGATAAACCCAAAGAATGGATCAGATGGCTTCCTTGGGCAGAATACTGCTACAACACATCATGGCAACAGTCAATCAAAACAACACCTTTTAAATTGGTCTACGGCAGGGATCCACCACAGTTCAAATCCTACAGCCCAGGTGATGCTTCAATTCAATAAGCTGATGACCTACTGACTGAACGTGACAACATCCTAGAGCAGACCAAGATTCGCCTACAACAATTTAAGGACTACTATAGCAAACATTATAATAGCAAGCATACTGATAGGACATTCCAGATTGGCAACTGGGTTTGGCTCAAATTAATGACTCGGTCGGCAGTAGCCATCTCTACACTCCATAAAGGCAAGTTATCTCCAAAATACTTTGGCCCCTTCCAGATCAGTGAGATCATCAACTCGGTTACTTATCGTTTGGATTTGTCTGCCGATGCACGGATACATAATGCCTTTCATGTGAGCATGCTAAAAAAGCACAACGGTAATCCACCCTCAGAGCTACAACAATGCATGATGGAGCTGCAGTCCCAGAACCAGAACTTATGCTCAAATCTCTCGACTACACCGTGGACAGCTTCAGGTATTAATCAAGTGGAAGAATCTGCCACCTGCAGAATCTTCTTGGGAAGATGCGGAGCTCTACCAGAGAGTCTACCCCAAGTTTCAGCTCGAGGACGAGCTGATTCTCCAGGCGGGGAGAGATGTCATGGTCGGCAAGACATATTCCAGAAGAAGGCAGAATAATAAGGATATAGGTTAATTAATTAGAAGAGGGGCAGTAGGCCCAGCTGTTATATTTTAATCCAAATAGATAGCAAGGCTCTTGGGCCAGGCCCATTAGCAATCGTAACCCCCCATATATATATGAGGGAGACCGTTAATGAGAAACTAAACAAGTTTAGGGTTAATCCCTTATCCTTCTCCCTCTCCCCCTCCTATCTTCTCCCTGCGCCACCTCTCTTCTCCTCTCTGCCGCACCCCCCCTCTCTCTTCTTCTCTGCCTGCCGCGCCCCTCCTCTGCCACCATCAGGCAGGCCAGCGGCTGCCTCAACCAGGCTGCCGCCCTCCTCCAGCCACGCCACCGCCGCCGCAGAGGGCTGCCTCGCCACTCAGCACGCCGCCACCCTCCGCCAACCAACAGATCGATCTCAGTTGCCGCAGGTGCTAACTGACGTGTTACAATACCAAAGCCCTGTTAACAGATGTGCAGTCTATTTATGCATGACATTAGGTTCACAGTTCACGAATGTGTTCGATAATCCATCTTATATTTGGTCATGCAAAGATTCTTTTCCAGTAGGCAGCTGGGCACTGAATGAAAATATATGGGTTTCTATCAACTGCGATCCTCTATTCCTCACATTCTGCTGAACAACATTCAGTAAATTATATCATTTTGGTAGTTTCATAAAAAAAAGACAAGTCATAGAACGTGAAAACAAAATATAAGAATTGAGTCTGTCAATACATAAGAAAATATACCCATGAAACTCTGTCTCTGTAGATGACAGCACAGCTGAAAATCTACTAGCAACATCTGCGACACTCTCGCCACCTTCAGGAGCCGTATAGGGATGTACTTCATCTACTGACCATATGTCTGCATACTACTTAACAATGTCAGATTTAGTAACCGAAAGAAACATAAAAAATGGAATGTATAGTGGGACAAAAAAAATCACAACTACACTATCAATTGCTACGATAACTGAATTATAGATATCTGAGTGGTTGAACTTGGACTCTATCACTAGACCTGTTGAATCATAATAAAACCATCAGTGGATCTGTGCTGTTGGTGCGGGACAAAAAAGTTTCCAGACCAAAGTAAAAATACTTATCTGACAAAAAAACTATCTGACTTCCTACACAACACGTGTGTCATGCGAATGGGCCAGGGTGGCACAGCCCAGGCTGGTCCACCCGACCAAGAGGCAGTAGGACGGCCAGGGCGGAAGCTGCCCTGGCCGAGCATAACACAGGGAGGTGCACACCCTATGAGCAGAGGCTCCACCTTGCCTTGATCTCCACCAGACCCACAGTTTGTCCAGCTGTTTTTGCATAGGAACTATCAAGCTGGACAAACTGTGGGTTCAATATAACCTTGTTCTGTATCAGCTACTGACAGAGTTGAAAGGATGAGTACGAGGATGATGGAGATCCATAAAAACGTTTTTATGTGTCTGACAAAGGGGAGGTTGCTAGGAAGGACTAAGATTTCTTAGATTATAGATGATAATGCATCACTTAGATTTCACCAACCAATTCATTTTATAGAATTGAACTTGTATCACATACCCCAGTAGATGCCCATATGATAAGAATGTTTCTTCATTTCTACTGAAACCATATAACTGAATCCAAAAAAAAAAAGGAAGAAGAAACCCACCTTATCATGTGAAAGTAACTCATATGATGGCCCAAAGTAGCGCTCACGAAGCCCCAGCACTGCCTGCAAAAGACCTTTATGAGACTACCAGATCATAAGAATTATGAGAAATCTGATTTGAGAATCTTTGGCTGCAATATATTGACTTTTAATAGCACCACTAGAAATGTAAAAGAGGACTGATCAAGCATTCATCCCTATGACCTTATAACACTGAAGCAAATTAGATGCGTTCTGATATACCCCGGTAATGTTTTAGGATGTCTTAGAAATCATAACAACTCAGAACAGCAAAAAGTTAAACCAAGGGGACAACATTTGAAAGCGGGATAACTGAAAAAGGTACCTGTCAACTGAGAATGCTTTGATGTTTTCATATGTACCATGGTACCAGTTTTGATGTCTAGTTTGTTTTACAGTAACAGTAACATTGCAAACTTAGTTCTGCAAATGACAATAAAGAGAAAAGGAAACAGAAAGACAAATTTCATGTTTGCTCAAATAATATCTGATAGAAATAAAACGTAGCATGGCTTAATCCTCCTAATTTCCATAATCATACTGCCCAATGAATCTAAACTCTATATCACTACCCATCTGTATACAAAATTCCAACTCAAGACAAAAATCTAAGTGCTAGATTTGTAATTACATGCCTCCCTACCCATACAACTTACCATCAAAGAAACAGAAAATTTACGTGCATTGCCAAACTGGCTCATCCAGGATTAAACCGAACTCACTTCGCAACTAGGACCCTCAAAGGGGATGCCAAGCACAGTGGCGACCACTCTAGCCGTCTCGGTGGTCCGTGAGAACGGCGAGTAACGAATCTTGACAGAATCCACCGGCACACCAATCTCCTCAAGCTCCTGCACACGCAAAAAAACACGGACCAGATTCACTACCGCACATCCAATCCAAGAATCCACAGCAGTGAGTCACCGACCGGGTACCTTCCGGAGCTGTTCGCCGGCCGCGCGCGCCTGCTCGACCCCCTGCGGGGCCAGCCCGAACTCCGGCTTCGTGCCGTTCTCCTGCCGGCAGCAGACCAAGATGGCATCAGTTGGAGAGAATTGGATTGAGGTAGGAGATCCTTGGAGCGGGAAATCAAAGGAATAAAGTGGGCTGCTGGGACGGAGGGAGGGATTCGTACCAGAGATGAGACGATGAGGCCGCGCTCGTTGGGGACGCTGCGGCCGTGGCGGAGGATCCAGTACTTGTTCCGTAGGATGGCTGGAGACGACGAGCTGCCGCTCGCATCCTCCATATCCATGGCGAAACCCGACACCCAATCGACCGTCTCGAAGCAGCACTAGCAGTAGTAGGGGTGCTGCAGTACAGCGTTTCAGCCGCTGGATGATGGGATTAGGATTAGGATCCTCCATTTGTCACATCCGTTCATCCGTTGGCCCTCTAAGCACGGCTCCTTCCGATGCCAGCCACGGCACTGGGTTATTTGATGGGTACCGTTACAATTATAAGAGCTCTGACATGTACCATTAAAATTTGTCTATTTTGAGATATACTATTATAATTTATTGTTTCACTGAGTTTTGCCATTCTCTACGTCTTCCAGTTGCTTGAGCTCACTGGCAGTCGTATGCGCACTGTTCTCTTTTTTTATGGACGATTTTGCCCCGTCCGAAGATGAAAGAGCCCTGCGCTGCGCCCGTAGCCCCATCTCTCGGTCTCTTCTCCTCCTCGCGCTCACTCTGTCTCTCACTCGTCCTCCCGACGCGCCGACGGCGGGGACCCGAACCCTAACCCTAGCCGCCGGCGTCCTGGAGCCCGCGCCCGAGTCAGCTACCGCCACCGGTGTCCTAGAGCCCGCGCGCCGCGCCCGAGCTATCCTCCCGGATCCCGGACGATTGGAGCCATGGCGGGGCAGTGGACTGGAAGCTCGATGAAGGTACCTTCGACGAGCTCAAGCGCGATGGGCAGCGGCAAAAGGGAGTGCCCTTATTGCCATGTTCCTTTGGTCCGGATCCAGAGCAAGCAGCTGGCGACAAAGGGTCAGTGGTTTCTCACGTGCCCGTACAACATTAAGATTAGGATTCTTGACATTGTTGACCTCACTGTGTCTCTTGATGCTACTCTGATTGATGCTTTTTTGTGTGCAGGGTGATCATACTACTTGCGGCTTCATCTGCTTTGAGTTGCAGATTGAGAGCTTGGAAGCAAGGGAACGCCGATGGCAGACTGGTAAGGAAACATCAGCTGACTGTTATGCCGAGTTGAAGGAAGAATTGCAAGAGTTGAAGCAAACTGTGGACAGTGTAGTAGCTGATATGTGGAAAATGAAGGTCCAACCTGCTGAGCCGAAGCCTGAGCTGGACACGAAGAAATGCCATATTGTGCTTGATTGTTCAGTTGTATCGCTATTTTTTGGCTTTGTAGGTGTCCTGATTGGTGTATTTGTTGTTGCTGTCATGTGGAAGTGAACAGCTAGAATGTGTGTTAGTCAGCTAATATAAGTGTGGGTTGGTTGTGTTGGAGCTGTGGCTTCCTGTTTCTTTTGTGTACTGATGAGGTACAAACCTTCTGATTAAGTTATAAATCTGTGGTTAGCTTCGCTCAACTTGATCTATGGTAGCTTAACTTGATCTGTGGTCGCCATGTTTGAGCAAAGCTTGTGTTCATCTTTTTCAGTGTTCAACAGCTTTAGATGTAACTGTTAACAAAAAATGAATAAATATCAATGTTGGTTACAGACTACATATCAAATTGTTGATGTATGGGTACAAATCTTACATGTAGAGATGTAACAATGCATTATGGAGGTTCAGGTGTGGCTTTTGTTTGTTCCTCAGGCTCCTTTGGTTGTCATTGAGATGGCAAGACTGATCTTGCATCCAAGGGCCTTGGAGGTGCTGTCAGCTCCTTTAAAGCAAAAGTCTTGTTCTCGTTTCTTGACAATCACTCATCTGAAGGGAAATTTGGCGGCGGTAGCATGTTTTTGGGCGGTGGTGGCGGAGGCATGGTCTTGGGTGATGGCGGTGGCGGTGGCATGTTTTTGGGTGGCGGCGGCAGCATGCTCTTTAGGGGTGGTGGTGGCATCTTAGTGGATATAGAGAGATGTGATGACATGTCCGCTTCTTCTGGCAGAAGCATTCCATTTGATCCAGGATGAACTTTCTTTGGAGGTGCAATTGATGAGCTCCCAATGTTACCTAAACTATCTAAACTTGTCTTAACAAATTTGGACCCCAGTTGTGAGTTCTAGAAAGATGAAAGAAAACAAAAACACTCATTTATCAAATTCCTGTGTGTGTTAGATGCAGATCCAAGGTGGCAAAGATAAACAGAAGACTCGATGCAACAGCTCACTCACTAGCTACTCAAGCATTCCCAGTTCAGGTGCTCAAACAATGATCATGTTTCCAGTTGCCCCACTAAGGAGGCACTGTAGTTGTTTCCCAGTTCAGCAGATAATGATCTGCTTGAACCTTGCTGCTGCAAGTGACTTGTGGCAAAGAGGAATGCCAACACTTAAACCAGTAGCACAGGACTCAGCACTAAGACCAGTTCAACACTTAAACCCAACTACAAGGTTCTAGGATTCTAACACTTAAATCAAGGTTCAACACTTAAATCAACATAACAGCATACCAGTAGCAGCATACCAGGTTCAACTGCTGATCTTACAACCATACAAGGTTCCAGCATACCAGGTTCACAACCATACATGGTTCCAGCATTCTAACTACAAGGTTCAAGAATCCAACTACAATGTTACACAAAAGTATATCATAAACTAGGGTACCCCATAAACTACAACAGGGTTCAACTGCTGATATTACAAAAGCATATCATAAGCTGATGACAAGCTCTAGTCTTCATAAACTAGCCTCCTAAGGCTACTAACAACAGTAGTAGGTGGGTCGGCTGTTGCCTTCTTGAGCTTCTTCTTGATGAGTGTCTTCTTCTTTGTTGTGCCCTTCTTCTGCTTCTTCTGAACTTTCTGTTTCTTGTCTTGGGAGGGACCGGCTACATTTATTGGAGCTTGTTTCCTACATTTTAAAGGTGACATTACATATCCTTTGGTCTTCTTTTTGGATGCCATTTTCTCCAAGCAATCTCTATGCCTTTGAATCTTTGGTCTTCCTGCTCCTCTGCCTAGCAACGGTGGAAACACTTTGAATCCAAGTTCCACAACAGGCCATTGTGACCTATCTGGGATAGGTTCAATTCTGTCCTCATAGGTTGTCTTGAACCTAGCCACTGAGTAATACTCATGGACAAAATCTTCAATTTTCACCCCTCTGTTGGACAGAATCCATGCAAAAGCATGTTTGCAGGCTTCCCTGTCAACTGCCACTGCCTACAGGAGCATTTTTGGTTCTGCAAAGTCAACTATTTATCTTTTCTAATTGTTCCACTCATCCAAGATGGTCACTTCTGCAATATCAACATCACTAACTGATACCTTGACCACTTTGAGGTTATTGCTGATCAAGTTGAGCTCCTTCATCACATTTGGGAGTATTCCATCTGTCCACTGCCTAGCAAGCATCTTTCTAGTGTATCTCTTCTCCATGATCAGCTCTCTAATTCTGTCAACTAATTCATGCAGTAGCAGACCTTTGAACTTCTTTACTTGTGTATTGAAGCTCTCTAAAACATTATTTGTCAAGTAGTCGCACTTGCTGTTTTCTAAAAATGCACACCTGTACCAGATCCTGTTGTGGTGCTTCTCAAGGTACTCAATAGCTTCAGGTGCAAACTTAAAAATTTTCTTCATGTGCCACTGAAACAGCCCTTGTGTGTAGCTTCTAACTGCAGGGTACAAGTGATCAGTGAACACCTCACCAAAATACTTCTTCAAAAAATTCTGATACAAATGCCTCATGCACTCCCTGTTTTCAGCTTGTAGGAAGATAGACCTCACTGTAGTCTCTAGTCATTTACATGCATATGTATATATAACCAAATTTGGAACATCTCCTATAACCTTAAGTAGCTGCTGCAGAAACCATTTCCAATTATCTTCAGTTTCTGACTCGAAAATTACATAAGCGATATGATACAACCAATTGTGTCCATCCACACCAGTAGCTGAAGCTAACTAACCCCTATATTTACCATGCAAACAGGAAGCATCTACCCCAATAAAAGGTATACAATAAGATAAGAATCCATCCACACATGGTCTAAGAGTAACAAACATCCTCTTGAATCTGTTTTTGGTGCCAATCTTCTCTAACTCTATCTCTACTAAGCTACCAGGAGATACTTTCTCAATTTGAGCTTTTCAATTGAAAAGCAACTAAAAACTCTCCTCATATTTACCATGGATCTGCTCTAAAGCTACCTTCATACCTGACCATGCCTTGGAGTATTTCAACTTAATGCCATAGTCACCCTCCAATTTGTCCCTGCACTCAGTTGCACCTTTGGTTTGATTCTTCTTCAGCCAGTCTACCAACCTATCTGCACACCAACCTTGGGTGGCCATCTTCGCTTCTCTGAGTTTTGTGGTAGGACAGTTGTGTTCAAAAGGTAGCCTTTTGATCTACACAAACAAATGCAATAGGACATTAGTTGCATAAATAATAAATTTAATAAACAACTCCAATAGCAATGACAAATTTACCTCTATTGTCTTGCCATAAGAATTTCTAGAAGCATGTATACGCCAAGGACATCCCTCTACTTTACACTTGGCAATAAATCTAGTAGGGTCAGTTTGCACACCAGTAAACTCAAAGCCTGTCTTCACTGCATAATGCCTAATTGCTTTCCTGAATGCAACAATATCAGGAAAGAGCCCTCCTTTCACAATCTTGGGGTTTTTCTGGATCATGAATCACATGGACCTCCTGTGGATCTGCATCATCAATCTCTGCCTCAAGAGAAACACCTCCTTCAGCAGCACCACAATCATTTGCATCAGCATTAGCACATGGTTGTGGGTGAGAACTGTTAGCAGCCTATGCATTGTTATTGTACTGATGAGGAGGTACTGGCATGTACATTCCCTCATCATCAACACCCACATACTCCTCATTATCAAACATGTCTAGCTCCCTGTCAGGCTCTAGTTCAGGCTCTAAAGGATACTCTGGTCCTTCATCTAGCTTGGTAGCAGGGCTAACAGGAGGATTAGGCTGCTCAGTAGGATCTATAATAGGATTCTCATGCCTATTGGGATCTGGACTAGGATTCTCATGCTCAACAGGAGGAATCACACAAAGAGGCTCTAGGGAGCAAACTCTTCAACATCTGTAACTTTTCTTTCAAAAACTCCTACAACAAGTTGGCAATGCATCTGAT